ATTTTAAAATATAAAGCATTTTTAACCAAATTTCACCTCCTAATAAAATAGTCACTTACTTTTAAACTAATTATATCTTTTTATATTTACCCTATTAAACAATCTATGATAAATATAAAATCATTCATTAATGGAAGTATTTAAAAAAAAAAGATAATGATTACACTTCAAAAGATTAAAAATACTTTATATTGTTAAACATCCACTCCTCAAAAAATGTTTTACATTTTTAAATTGAGGGAGTAATTTTTTTTTGGCATTGTAATAGTTGGAGACTATCTTTATCTTGAATTCTTCATTAATTAAGAAAATTTATTAAAATAAAACTAAATTATTTTGTACATGAGGGCCAAATTTTTGAATATTTGGTAAATTATTTTATGGTGAGTTTGGATGCATCGGACTTGGATTAAAACTAAATCTTTCATTTGAATATATAAAAATTTATGTATTTGGTTTATTTAAATTCAAATTCATATTTTATCATAACTTCTTTATAATTTTATATTTTCTTAGACCCAAATTATTTGAAATTTTCTCTATTTCATCCCTTTAAATTTTTCACATTTTTAGTATTGGTGCCTCTGTTTCTCTCACATCTTTCTTCTCTTATCCTCCTTTTTCACTTATTAAAAAATAAAAGTAAGTTTGTCACTTTAATCTTTAATTTTATCTTTAAATCTTAGTTCTTTTATCTTTTACTTTTAAATTTTTCTTATTTTAAATATATAAATTTAAAATTTAAAATTTAAACTCATCAATTTAAATGCAACCTTAACTTCTTGAATCAATTTTTCTAATCTTTCATTTAGATGAAAAAAAGAGGAAGAACAGAAAAATCTTAAAAATAGTTAAAAAAATTTTACATATTTAAAAATCAAGCCTAAATAAAAAGGACAGGTGGGAAGAAAAAGAAAACCATGTGTGAAGCAGTGCAGGTGGCATCCTTGTAAGGGGTGTGTGTGTAATATATATATATATATATATATATGTTTATTTTATAGCTTTTTTTTTTTGAAACTTTAGAGGAGCGTCTGGGGACTCAAGGCCCAAGGTAGGGCCCACGAGCAGCCCATGTTTGCCGACCAGAGACTTTTGTCTTTATCCACTCAGACCGTCCAGCCTCCCAAGTCTCATCCACCCGCACATGTTTCTTAATCTATATAAACTTACAAATGTCTCTCTCACTGTGAATCCAAACGGTTCACATTCCTCCTGTCAAATTACCACTCTACCCTTGTCCTCCTCTACTTATAGCTCCCCTCATGAAATCTTCCCTTAGAGATAGTCGCATGTGGTCCTCTCTTATATAAGAAAATATATATATAAGTCTTTAGTTTCTCTCATCTTAAATAAAGTTTTTATACTTGTTTTATTTTAATTGAATTTTTATAGTTTTATCCATTATATTTTATAATTCCTAAAAGTTTAAATCATCGATTTTTTTAATAGAATAAAATTGAGAATTTTTATATTTTATTAAAAGATCACGGAACTTTATAACTAACTATATAATTTTTAAAATTTAAAATTTATATAATTTGGTTGCCTTTTAAAAAATTTTTAGTACATATAAAATTTTCACAAAAGTTAATAAAAATGTAAATATTGTATTGAATCAAATTTTCTTTGTTTTGATGTTGGCCAAAACTATTAAATTTATTTTCTATAAATTCCAAAATTGTTTTTTCCAGAAAGTTAATAATTTATTATTAATTCTAATATTTAAGATTAACTTGATCAAACTATAAGAATTAATTAAAATAAAAATTTATATAAAATTTAATTTAAAAATGAAGAAAGCTATAAGAACTGTTAAATTAATTTTTCCTAAGATATATTGAAAAATGAGAAGTGGCCATCATCGGTAGTGATCATATGCTTCAATAAATTTGATTTTAAATTAAAATCACATCCATATTGTTTTTTTGATTTTTATAAAATAAATTATTTTTTCATTCACTTTTTCTAAAAATAGATATATATATTTTTATTTATACGGTTTGAAAGTAAGAATGATCATTGATTAAAGAAAAGTAAGAGTGATAAAAAATGTGGCCTGATTCGATTTTGTTCAAAACGTCAATTACACTAAACCAATCGATTTGTATAATTTGATTGATTATTTTATCAAGATTAATTTGGTTCGATTTTGTTTATATATACTTAGATTTAGTTTCAATAATTTTTAAGATACAATATTATATATTAAAACTAAAGTATAATTTTTTATTCTTTTTTCATTCATATTTCAATTTCAAATCATATTCTTGATTTTATCATTCATTAATATAAATGAATATCATATTCAAGATAAAAATATTTAAATTTCATTGTTAATGAATACCATAGCATATATATTGTAAGAAATATGAGTTGAATTTTATTAGAAATTGTCTTGATATCTAACATAAAAAGTGACTCATTTTAAATCAAAAAGTAAAATTCTATGGTAAGAATTATTTTTTTAGAGTAACACGAGTATATACATTTGAGTTTTTAATAAAAAATTGAGAAAGAAAGGGTTTGAAATTCTATCAAAATATTTTGGATAAGGGCTGGACTTAAATTGAAGTCAAAATTTTAAAAAAGAAACAATAATAATATAATGTTAATCATAAAAATAAATTTTAAAATATAAAATATATGATTTAAGTTTGATTAAGGTTTTAAAAAAAAATCAAAACTCGAATCAAACTATTCAATTTTTAAATTTATAAAATCAAACCAAACATATCAATGATAAGTTTTATTCAATTTTTATTGGATTTGTTTGATGTTAAGGTTTTGTTGTTCAGTTTTACTTTCCCTTAATTTTATGGGATTGAGTTCTAAATAGTAGCCCCCTTTTTTTAAACCTTTGTTCTAAACATAAGTCAAAACCATTTCAAAATGATTGACAATTTTTGAAGCTAAAACCTTACTTTGGAGGACTTAACAATCAATAGCTGATGCATTTAATTCAATTTGTTTTGCACTCATTTCCTCCAATTTATTTAATTTTTTTAGACCTCTTGAGATTTTTTTTATAAAAAAAGTGCCTTGTTGAATTCATATGCTATTTTGACGGAAAAATAATCTAAAAAATATGTTTGCAAAAGAAATTGTAAAAGCATTGTATTCTTCAATCATCTTTTTAAAAAGGTTTACAAAATGGTTAGATAAAATCAAATCCACAATCAAAACAATTAATAAATTGTTTTAATACCTGAAAATCGATTTTAACTTGATTTTTTTTTTCATTTTTTTCAGTTTAATTAATGTGATTCAATTTATGCCGACCAAATCAAATTAGTTCATCAACTTTAAGTACCCATGCTTGGGAAAAAAAACTTCATTGACAATAAAAACGTTTGGAGATACTCTATCAAAAAAAGTTAAAAAAAAAAAAACGTTTGGAGATATACACAACCACAAGAGTTATAGAGCTGATTAAATTCAATTTATGAACATTGAAGTCTCCATCTTCCTGAGTTCTCATTAGTCCGCTTCTGAACCAACCTATCTACAAACCTTCAATTTCTATTTTCCCAACTAAAACCGCCGAACAACCTCACTACCACTGCTGTTGGTACTATTAATAATTGTTGTTATTATTATTATTATGATGTTAAAATATAATTTTAATTCTTTAATTTTATACAAATTTAAATTTAATTCTTTAATTTTATAAAATATTTTTCAGTTCTAAAACTCTAGCACCATTAGTTTAAAATTATTATTTTTATGTTAATTATTTAAAAAAAACTTAATAATGGTGTTAGAAATTAAAGTAAAACCTTATACATAGTTAAAGAAATAAAAGTATACTTTAATCTTATTATTATTATTATTATTATTAGGTTTAAATGAAAAATTGACCCTTAAGCTATATGTTTAAGAATGTTTAGGACTTAAATTTATTTTTAATATAATGTTCTTTTTAATATTTTAAAATAATGTAATATTGCTCCTACTATTTGCAAATATTAATTTTGATCGTTATTTGATCAAAAAACTTCAAAAGATGTTCAAGAAATTTTTCTTGATTCTTTTTCTGTATTTTTTATATCATTGTTTGTAAGTTTTGTGTTATTTTTTATAATTTTTTAATCAACTAATAGTTAAAATTAATTTTGTTAATAATAAAAATATTATTATAATTTTTATTTTTAAAATTTAAGAAGATCATTGTATCAAAATAAATTTAGAGCCTGATATACTTTTGAATCTCTAATTTAAGAATAAAATTTTACTTTAACTATTATTATTATTATGAGAAACTAATTAATATTATCGGGAATTTGATCGATACACCCAAAAACAAGCATCATGCATGTTTTGTCTCATGTGTCTTGGATGCTTATCCAAATCAATTGGAAGGGTAGTTTGGTCATTTCGGGAGTGCATAAGTTGGGGAATCAAATCATCTCAATTTTATGCTTTGAATAAAAGAAACAGGCCACGCACTAAGCCAATGAATAATTCTCATGTTTCAGAAACTAATACTTGTATCCTGAAAAAAAAAAAAAAAAAAAACGAAGAAGCTCAAAACAAAATATATGAAACAAATTAAAACATTTGAATTAATGCTTAAGTTATCACTAAGTTTTGAAGAATTTTTTTAAAATTTATCATTAAATTATGATCTTTTAAATAAAACTTAATTTTCAAAAAATTATTGTGCACACATATTTTTTATTAAAATCAATTTTGTTCAAGACAGGGTTTAAATGTAAATCCTCCCCTCACAAGAATCTAAACATTAATTTATTAGATTGTGGGAAACAATTTTTTTTTTATTTTCACTTTATTCGGTCCTGTTAGTAATTAATTATGGAAATAATTACATTTTAACGACAACTTTATTTTTTTTAATACCTTGTGAGTCCTAAATGATTTTCTCCCATGCAAAGGTCCCAAAAACCACCTGCAAGTACCAGTCAGCGTCATCATCAAGTGCTTAGCTCAGGCTTATTCATTCCTAAAGAAAAAAATTCATCTTCTGCCGAACACAGTTGAAAATAGACAAAAAGAAAGAAAACCCACTTCATACTAAACCAAACCACAGAGAGAGAGAGAGAGAGAGAGAGAGAGAGAGGAACCTCTCTGGTTGTTTGTGACAAGCTTTCCTCTTTCTTCTTCTTCCTTCTCCTGTTCTTTTCCTTTTCAATGCAATATGAGGAAAACCAAAAGCTCCACAAAGTTTCGTTTCTTCCTGTGATTGAACTCCAGAAATATCAGTCACAGTTTTCGATTCTAGCTTCTCTTTGAATATGGTTCAAAGGAAGGTACCCTGCAAGCTTGGTATCCAAGCTGATCATCATGTTAAATCTGATAAGCGCTTGGCAAAAAACTTGAACCAAGATGGGAAAACCAGAGGAGGAGCTGATATGAAGAAGAAAATGAAGAAGTCAAGGTCTATTAGGCTTTCTGATATGGAGATTCTCAGATCATCACCACCTTCAAAGAAGAGCTTCTCTCAACCAGAAAAGCCTTCTTCTTTTGTTCAAGTTTCTCATTCTGTATCATCGTCTTCTCCACAGAAGCTGACACCTTTGATCAGAACAAGTGATGGGTCACCCAATTACATGAAGCCCACAAGCAGTTCAGATGCAAAGAAGGAGCTTTTCCCATTGAGTCTTCGAAACTCCAAATCTAACTCAAAGTCTAGCTCTAGCTCTGTTTCTGCTAATAAGCCTGCAAAAACTTTGGCAAAGTCATCACCTAGTTTGAGGCTTGTGAGAACCTTAACGAAGACTCCAAGTTTCAAGAAATCCTCTAGAGTTTCTCTTTGTGCTGATATGAATGCTCAGAGAGGTACCTGTTCTTCAACTTTGAAGGACTCAAAGTTTCCTCCTTACCTGATGCTTAACCCTGGGGCCACTGAGTCTGAAGGCACTTCAGTTATGAAGGTTTGCCCATACACCTATTGTTCTCTGAATGGTCATCGTCATGCTCCTTTGCCTCCATTGAAGAGCTTCTTGTCTGCAAGGAGACGTATTTGAAGACTCAGAAGAGTATGAAGCTGGAAGCTCTTAGCCCTCGGAGGTTGAAGGTACCCTGCGAGCCAAAGAAGGAATCTGATACTTATGTGGATTTCTTCATCGAAATCTATGCTAAGAAAAATGGGGGTGAAGAAGAAATCAGATGCATGGGCTCCGCCAGAAGATTTGAGGATGAAGAAAACATCAAATCTACAATGGAGGAGAATAACTTGAAGGCACAAGGAGATGATGTTATGAAGCAAGTTGATGCAAGCCTGTCTGATGGATCTCCAAAGTCTGAGATAGATTCGGAAGAGGATTATGGAAAGTGCTTTGATGATGCTAAGATTGAAGCAGATTTGAAGGGGAGCTTTCTTCAAGAACAAGAAGCCGAATTTGCAGATGAAAAGCCCTTATCTATCGGGTCTGGTGAAGAAATAAGCATTGAAAGCTGCTGCAGTGAGGTTAGCTATGAAGGAGAAATGGGTGATTCTAATTCTGAAGCTTCCGATATGGAGTGGGAGCATGAAAAGGATGATGTTGATTCTTCTGTTCTCACAGAGGAGAATGATTCAAAAGTTGAATCTTTATCTGAGAGTTCAAATGATGTTTCTGTGGTGTGGTTAGATGGCATCATTAACATCTATTATGAGGATATTGTTGCTGAAGTTTCCCAAGAATCTAACACCAAAGAAAGGTTCTGTATTGAATCACAACATCATGGGATCAATTGTGATTTGGAAGGGACGCATGAAAGCTTGGAGACTCAAGAACCTAGTAAGTCACAAGAACAAGTGAATTGTGAGCAATCTTTTTTGGCTAAGAAAGTGTGGGAGGAATTGACAGACACAGAAGGAAACTGTGGAGGAAATGAAACAGTCATGGATGCCACAGTGTTCTCTTCAAATTTCACTGACGGGAAGACATTTGAAGAACTAGAAGAAATCGACGAGGAGAATCAGGACAAAAATGATGTTTCTAAGGCAGAGAATTCAACGAACAAGACATTACTGGAACTGGATAACGATGAGGCAGATCACATCACTACAGTAGATAACAGTACCTTGGATGAAAAGGAAACTATGTCTCTCCAACAAGATGATTCAAGTATGTCAGAGGCTGACCAAATTTCAGGTGCTTTCAAGGAATGTTATGAATTAAATCAGCTTGTGACTGAGGAAGATGGTCCTGAGAATCATTTTACCCCAGAGGAAGAACCACTTGTAGCTGAGACTAATAATAAAATGGAAGAGAAGGATAATGCCGATTTCAAGGAAGAAATGGTTGAAAGTTTTATTTCTGATGCCTCTCAGGATTGTCATGAAGCTTCCGAGGGTGATAGTAGCCAAGTTGATAAGGCGAGTGAACCTTGTGAGGCTGATAAGGTCAGTGAAGAAGAGAAGAACTCAAGCCAAGATATTAGTGAAGAAGAGAAGTTAGAGAGCCCAAGCAGCATTGGTGGTGAAGAACAGAGCCCGTGCAGGAAATGGATAGGGTCTGAAAGGCGCAAGAGAGGGGTTCAAGACGAGGATGAAATGAGGAAGATCAAACCCCGGGAGCCAAATTTCCTCCCTTTGGTTCCAGATCCAGAAGGAGAAAAGGTTGATCTGAAGCATCAGATGATGGATGAGAGAAAAAATGCAGAGGAATGGATGCTTGATTATGCACTGAGACAAACTGTCACAAAGCTTGCTCCTGCTAGGAAGAGGAAGGTGGCACTGCTAGTGGAAGCTTTTGAATCCGTAATCCCAATGCCCAAATGTGAAACTCGTATGAGAAACAAGTCATCCTTTGCACATCCATGGCCTATTCAAGCTTGTAGCTGAGGTAAAACATTGAACTTCTCTCACTTTTCTCGTACTTTTCCTTTATCAAGAAGATCTATTTTGGCTGCAGTAACTGAAGCCATGTTTCAGAATAATAATTTATGGAATAGTAAACTGATAATGACATAATACAAGACAGACCCAGTAAACAAGAAATTTACTTTTTCTTTGTTAGAGTGCTGGTGAAAATTGGAGGTAAGAAACTTGGACTATCATCCTCATGAGAAGCAGAGGTAGCAGAATAGTAAGATCACCAGGAGAAAGCCATTTTCTAGGGAGCAATCTGCAATGACATTATAACAATTAACTTCTTGTGAAACTCTTCTCTGTAACATGGAGGCAAAGAAAGAAGCTTCAAGCAATAAGGGAATTAGGGTTCCACAATGGAAACCGTAACCCCTAAAGGAATTTTGTGGTTCTTACTTCTTCTTGCTAAACTCTGTGGGTCTCAATGTTGTTTACTATCCGTAGCTGTGTTTGATACACTAATATTATGTTTGCTAAAAGAGTTTTTTTATGTCTGTGGAGTGTTTTAATCTATTGTACTTGTTTGTATTATGCAGAAGCAGAACTGATTATGTATGTTACGTTATTTCATTTATTCATTTGCGTTGACATTTACAGTCATGGAAATGCAACCTGAGGAGTAAATTTGTCTGGATGTTGTAAAATTTAGAAAAACTCTAGTAAATGGTTATGTTAAATAATCAGTTCCTACATAGAATGATTAATATCAATACAAAATATAAGTTTAGAGAGGTGTAATATTCACAAATTATGAATATTGTGTCATATTTTAAGCTCCATGCAAATGCTTGAAATTCTGACTTCTCCAATTTTTAAAGTTCAAACGTCTATGGTATTTTTTTCACTTGTATTATATCATTAGGAATAGTATCAAATATTGAGAACCATATTGTTAGCAAAACCATCTTGCTGTGTTCGTTCTGCCCCGCATTTTCAAGTGCTGTAAGTTGGGGGGGAAAACCTTTACAATTATCATAATAATGAGCATTTCTGTGTACTGGAAATTTACAAGGTTTTACAATCAGGCAGATAATATAAACTTTAGTGTATGCACATCAGCTACAGGAGCTCATGAATTAGTTCTTGAATATCTTAAGCATGATTAAGTTTCTAAATCAGAATTAACTAAAATTAGCTTGAGTCATAGGAGGTTTCGTAACTTAAAACAAGTAATTAAGGATTTAAACTCCAACCCTGAAGCACTTTGAAACTTGATCCTATTTGCTCATTATGTCCCTTTTATAGCTCATTCTTCCTTCATCATATTACATCAATACTCATCAATCTAGGAATCCAGACGGTCCAAATTTAATTTTATTTAATTGGTATGTTCTAAATAAAATCTTATTTTATTAGACATAAAATAAAAAATAATCTTGAAATTATCATTTTCTTTAGAAAAATAAATTATCATTCTAAAAAGTTGCATATTAAAAGGGATTCCCAAAAACTACCCGTGTCCAACAGAGGACATTAAAAATCAGCACATCCCAAATTATTTTATAAAGTAATCAATCTGTGTATGTATATTAAAAATAAGAACATTGTTCTTATTGTGTAAATAATTTCCGAGATAAATCTATAGAATGAACTCCAACACAAATTCAACGAATCTAAAACCTACAATAATGATTTAACCTTTCTTTGTGCATGCTGAATATTTTGAAGGGGTTTAGACAAATCATCTGCTTCAAAAAGAAAGGGTCCTCCACAAACCAAACGTATCCAAACGGACAAGCCTAAAATGAAAGACAGGAACAATAACTTCGCTGGGAAAAAATGCATTCAAATTCAATTTGGTGCTTTAAACCGCAAAACAAAAGCTCCATATAACAGATTAATAAAGTGAAATATATCATATGAGAATACAAGTCTCAAACTCCTCTATCTAATTCTCAGAAAAAAAGTTAAAAAAAAAAAAGGTCACTCAGCGCTTCCCACCGCCGCCACCAAGTTTAGGACCTCTGGGGGCAGCACCCTTGGGGGCATTTCCTTTTCCTTGTGCTTTCTGTGCCTTGGCCATCACTTCAGCCTTCTTAGCCTTCTTCTCATCCTTTGTTTTCTTGATCCTCTCCTTAATCTCACTGCATCATGCATTCAGATAATCACATGATATATGGTAACATAACATAACTTCATGCCATCCAACATGAGATAACAATAGAAGAGTCTCAGTAATACACACCGAAGGGCGGCTTCTCTAGCTGCGTCTCTGACTTCGGGCTTCTCCGTTCTTTTTTTCTGTATAACTTCCAGGGTGGCCCCAACAATGGACCTAGAGTAAGGCTTTTTGGTCGTGCGCCGCCTCTTCTTGACAGCTTCTTGGGCAATGTCCTGCAGACACCGCAGACACAATCACGCATTTGATCAATGAGAGATCATCGGAATTTCAAACAGTTTCACTAGCATCCTGTTACTATGTGCTAATTCTAACTTGTTCTCAGTGCAGCAACCCATCCAGCACAAAAAAGTTGTCTGCCACCTATGTTGAAACCCAAGGTAATTTACAGACAAGTTTAAATTAATTTGGGCCCTATAATGTCTAGTATCAGTTGAGGTTGACTAAAACTAACAGTAATCTTTTTTTTTTTTTTTGGTTTCTCACAGGTATCTTCATATTGAAAACAATCTCGTTCAAGGCACTGTCGAGTACTAAATGTAAGCACTTCTCCTAACGAGGATCTGAACTTGGTTCACCTCATTACAAGGAACTAGCCCTTTTTGTTAGACAAGTTTAATTTCAAATGTATATAATTCTGTATTGCCACCATAAGCCAAGAGCCACCTAGGTTGAAACCCAGGCTAATTTACAACAAGTTTAATTTAATTTGGGCCTTATAATAGATAGTATCAGTTAAGGTTCACTAAAACTATGGTAATTTTGATAATAACAATACCTTCTTGTGTTGCTTCCTGTACATGGCAGTCCAGGTGAGCTTTGATGGCTTCAATCTGTTGTGGAAGTACCTCTTGCATTTTGAGTTGGCAAACAAGAAGACCTGATAAAAACATAAAATGAATCCATTTAGCACCTAGTGGATCATCATATCATCTCTGAAAAAAGGAAGATTGATCCAATTGAAGTCACCTGAGAATCAGCACGAAGAAACCTAATGCCTTTGCCGGGGTAGATCTTACCCCCACTGAATCGGCATAGTTCAGTCCTGATATACCCATATCAAAAACCAGTTACCACATTTGTCAAGAGGCAATTATTTTGGAAAAAACACAAGATTGCTTGCTTTTGTTATGATCGCAAAAAAGTCAGACTTGCTTGCAAAGAATTCGCAATTAGTCCAAGGATGTCTCAAGTGCTAGCAAAACATAACTATATAGCCACTAGGTGTCCAATTTCAGCTTCTATACGGCCAGCACTAATGCAGAATAATCATATCAAACAAAAGATTTTGGGGATCAGAATATGCAGAAACCAACAACTTTGAAGGCAGGAAAAACTAATAAGCCCAGAGAAAGCAATTACTCGGTATAGAATAGCAGAAAAATCATGGTCCAAAATCCCAGAAAGCTGACAAAATATAAAAACCACATTCACATTCATTCAAACTAAACGATACGTTTATATGATTACAGAATCATTCATTCTTAAATAACAAAACAAATGAGTAGATTTCGGCAAAGCATGGTGGTTATGCATTAACAAATAAAACCCATCATTCACCAATCCACGTTCCTAAATTGCAACTGAGAAGCATGGATCTAAGCGAGTTGTTAGGCCATACCGTAAACGGTGAGGAAGGTTTCAAATTGATGGCGCAAAAAAAAAAAAAAACAAACGAAGTTTAAAATCACAGTATACATGCAAAGCAGAGATGAAAGTAGAAAAGGAAGAAGAACGCACTTCAGCACCATGTCGACGGCGGCTGCAACGCTGGCTTCCTGTTGTGGAAACTGAAAACCCAAAAAACGGCCATGCCTTGGTGCGTATTTATCGCATGACTCTAATAATAATAATAATAATATATTATTATTATTATTATTATTATTATTATTAAAACAAAATATCATATACTTAATCTTATATATTTTGATAAAAAAATAATCTTACATACTTAATATTTAATTAAATCTAGACATGAATTTTTATGCAACAAAAATTTACTATAAAATAAATTATTTATAAAAATTATACATGTTATTTATTAAAAACAAGTATCTTAAATATATAAAGTTGAATATAAAGTTTTATTTCTTATTATTATCATATCACCATTGAATGAAATTATCTCAAATTTGTAACATTTTATAGTGAAAAGGGTTGAAAATTTAATTATGACGTGAACTAATAGAAATAGAAATACTTTTAATTTTAATATTTTTTATAAAGTTACCACTCAACTTTTCTTTGATAACATTAAATATGATCACCTTATCCACAACTTTATTTATTATTATAAAACTATAATTTTGATTTCTTTATCAAAATATTTATTTTAGATCTTTTGTTATATGTGTGTGTATTAGCATTTAAAATCTTAACAAACAGATTTAAGCTCCATAACCACTCCTAATTATTCACAATCAGCCTCACAATACAACATCAAATCATGCGCAAATGATGTGGTTTGTTCACAGCAATGAATTAACTCCATAGATTATGGGCCTGTTTATTTAAAATTTAAAAATAAGTTATTTTTAAGCAAGATTTTATAAAAAAAGATTTATTTTGTAGAGATTTTATAAAAATTAGACATTATTTTATGTTTAGTTATAATAATAAAAAATTAATTTTTCGTTAGTTATTTTTAAATTTTATAACATCTTCCTTGATTTTTGTTTTATAAAAAATAAATTATTATTATATTATTTTAAAATTTCACAATATCTTTACGTAGCTGCCTTTTTAAAACACATTCTCTCATTTATCACATTATATTATTTTGAAAAAACTACTCAAAATGGTTTTTTAAAATAATCAGATATTTTCTTTTTTTACATTTTAATTATTTTTAAAAATTTAAATAAATATTATAAAATCTTACAAAATAAATTTAAAAAATAAATGATTTTTTCATGAAATGAACTAAAACAAATAAGCCCTATCTAACACTCCAACCTCCTCCACACTTTCATACAAAACTGCTAGTTCATATGATTATATGTTTTTTCTAGATTGATTTTAATTACGAAAGAAATGTAAGCTATAATTTTATAGTAATGATAAAAGTTATGAAAAAGCGATAAAAGATTGTTAAACAAAATAAATAGTGATTTCAGGCATTTTTCGTAACACATAGCCTACGTGGTAACATTGTTTTCAAAAAAAAAAAAAAAAAAAAGAAAGCATGTCCACTAATTCAATTAATAGACGTCCCGTTTTTTTTGATAGAGGCCCATACTTATTTAGACTCAGTCCAATTTTTATTGTTTTTTTATGGGCCCGATCCAGATAAACCTTCCCATCCAATTATTTATTTGGACTTCGTAGAACATGCCATGAAGGCAAGAGGGTTAAGTTATAAAAGCTTTCTACATTTTTTTTAAATGTAATTATTTTTGGAAATAAATTAAAACGTTTGTTTAATATTAAAAAATAAATTATTTTTACATAGTATAAAATTTTTATATAAAATATTTATTTTATAGAGATTTAAAAAGATATATATTATTTT